GGACGAGAGAGCTTCTTACAAAACCCTCATCAGGAGCCTGGACAGAGATCCTGGAATTCCTGTGACTCCTACACACCCACCAAAGCCTCATGGTGGCCCTGCCCACAGGGGAAGGGGCGAATGGCTGGGTCTCAGGGGAGAAGACTCACATACCCAGGCTGAAGAGGTTGACGGCACCATAGTCTAGGAAGTAGCAGATGTGCCGGGCATTCTTGGACATGCAGCTGAAGGTGTGCGCACAGCTGGATGCGAGAGGGTACACGCAGCTGGTGCACATGTACACAAGCAGAGGCCACGAATAGGTATCATTCTGGATGTCTGTCACATAGAGTGCTGTCACAAACCTCCACACAAAGAACCTGGAACACAGCATGGGCCCCTGAAGCTCTGTGGCTGGGAACCTCTAAACTGTCCACCCGACCCTCCCCTGCTTTCCATTCTCCTGGGATGACCAGTTCCTATGAGTTCTCACTTTGGTGACGTGCCATGTGCTGGAGAGGGTGGAAGGGGCCTTTGGACTTAAGAAGCAGTAAATTAGAAATGGGCAGGTGGGGTGGGTAAGAAGAGAGCCTTTTTAGGTCTATCTAATCCAATCCCCTCCCTGCCACGGGGTGATGGAATTTCTTTCATGGCATCTTGTCCAAGTGATTCTCCAGCCTTGGCTTGCACGCCTCCAAGGATGGTGGGCTCACCACCTCCCATGGCAATTCCTAGTGCTAGCAAGTTTAGAGATATGGCACAGTCCTATGTTAGATCTGCCTAACCTGCAACCCACATATGGGGTCCCACCTGTACAGCACCTCACTTCCACAAATCATTCATGAAGAACAGGCTCCCTTTCCTACTAACTCCTCCAAAGATGGAGACTCTACAGAGCATGTTCACAAGGAACTGAAGGAGGTTCCCTAAACCCTTCTGGCTACACGTTTTCATCCTGCCTCAGCAGAAGTAAAGCTTAAGCTATCTGTTCTTCCCCAAAACCTATCCTTTCATCACCTTGGGATCATTTCATCATTCCATTTCCTTAAGGCATTTGGACACAGGCTTTCCCAGGCCCTTCCGGCTGGTCTGTGTTGTGCAATTGGGATGGTCTCTGAGAGCCTGGCACATGTACGGCAGCGGTATGCGGTGGGGTAGCTCAGCCAGGTTGGCTCAGCTGTAAAACAGCTAAAAGTCCTCCCATAGGGATCTGTTCACAGACCCCAAGACCCACAAGCAAGGGTGGGCACTCTGTAATGGTATCAAATCTCAAAACAACTGACATCAATCATGGTTCATCCACAAAACAGAACTCTCATTCTGAAACGGGAGACACTTGGGTCCAGTGAGACCTCCACGTGAGACAGCAGGAGAGCAATGGGAGAAAATATGCCGAAGTTGGGGGTGCACAAGCCACCGTTGCTCAGGCTCCCTAGAGCAGCTCAGGAGGATGCACAGGAAACAGGCAGCTTCAGGGAGAATGAGGGCTGGAAAGACCCTAACTTGATTCCCTTCTGCAATGCTACAATTTGTTAGCATGCAGGCTTTTTATAGAAGCAAAAAGTTTAAATGACAAAAGGCGTCCTTGAGTAGGAACTTGCCATCCTGCCCAGTCCTCAGGCCCCAGGGCTGTCAGGCTTCTTCTCCCGACTCTACCCCAAGACTGAGCTTTCTCTCTCCTCCACCAGGGTGGCTGCTGGGACCAGCCTTCCCCTGCATGTCGGCCCTGGGTCTGTCTTTTGCCTTCCGTCAGGCTGACTACCTGCACACCAGAGCACAGCGGGCTCCCTCAGGCCTGTCTCTGCTCAGCACGCTCTGGGGTCCCCTGTCTCTTTCATGGAGTCTGGGGGGTCCAGGACCCACCTGTGCCTCAACTCTGCTATGCAATATAAAGAAGACACCCTTCTCTGGCTGCATCTGTCAGCTGACAGTGGTCTGAGTGGGACAGTGGCCCAAATGACCTATGAGGTCCTCCCTGCTCTAACATACAGTCAAACCTCACTATTTGTAGTTCTGCATCTTGGGATTCAACTCACCATGAATCAAAAATATCCAGCGAGAGGAACTATGTGACTGCATTGAGCATGTAGATCTTTTTTTGTATTATTCTCTAAATAGCCTACCATATCATGTACAGAGCATACACAATGTATTAAATATTATAAGTAATCTGGAGAAGATTCAAAATACATGGGAGGATGTGCATAGGGGATAGGAAAATGCTATGCCATTTTTATATAAGGAAGCATCCATTCACAGATTGTGGTATCTGCAGAGGTCCTGAAGCAATCTACTATAGACACTGGGGACTTCTGACTGCACTATGTCTGTGCTGTGGCCCTGTCTTAGGGCGAACTCATCCATGAGGTGTGTGAAGTTGGTCTGGGGCCCACCTTTCTCAGCAAGGCCCTTCTGGCCTTCCGGAAACTCCCACTCCTGGGTTCATGCTTCCCAGAGCCTTGCTCTTAGCTGACTGTATTAGAGCACTGCCTGACCAAGGGCCTGCCCATTGCTGTGGTTCCAGAACAATTATGAACCTACTGCTCTGTGCCCGATGCCTTTAACCATTTTCTCCCTGTCCTCCCTGCAACCTTGAGAAAGGTACAGACCATCACCACTGCTTTGAGGGGAAAATGAGATATGAAGTGACCTGCTCAAGCTAGTGACATTTTAACTAGAGATATTGGTTACTGGATTCCAGAAGACCTGCAAAGCTGCCAGGACTAAAGGGGATGAAGATAAATACTACTGAATCAAGGAAGGGCCTGGGAGCTCCAGAAGCCCCTGGAATCCAGCCACAATCCACGCGCTATAGCTCATTCCATGGAGCACCCAGCTTCTCCTTCTGCCACAAGGTCACCTGCCCCCATAGAGGAATCCCCCAATCCCAGCCCTCCCAATCCCAACTAATCCTCAGGGACCCTAGATGAGATGGGCTGGTCCAGGGCACTGGAAGATACCAGAAGGGCAGCAAGTGAGTCCAGATGTTGAGGGTCTCATTGGTCATTTGGAAAAGGCTGAGGACACAGGCTGTGGCGGAGCTCTGTGGATGCCGGTAGCCAAAGAGGATGCCCCGCTCATGGAACACCTGCAGAGGGACAACAAAGGGCACGGAGGTGAGAAAAGATGGCCGCCTGAAGGTCTCCAGAGGAGTATCTCTGGTGGGCATCATGTTTTCTCCTAGTCTGTGCACTGTTAGCCTGGGACCCTTGAACAATTCCCTGACCTGTCAAACTGCTATCCTCTCTCCCTCTTTCCCTCTTTCCCTCCTGTGAGCTTCTAGAATCCCAAGTCTTCCAAAAGTCTCCAGCCAGCTAGAGGAGAGAAGCCAGGAGCCAGGATCTCTTTGGGAATGCAGCCTATCTGCCTTCCCAGTCGCACTTACTCTTGGCATGAATGTTGCCTAGGAATCCGTTTTTGCACCTTCTGCCTGGGGCCTACAGCCCAGTCTTTGTGGTTGGCTAACATATATGCTGCCTGTCTGAGCCAACATGCCCCAGATGTCAGGGGCTGGTGGAGATCTTTGCAAAAGATACCCCCGTGCCAGGAGACAGTCACAAAGCACTTCATAAAGGCTACTGATGATGAGGACTATGATGCCGACGCCTGGCCTGTGGAAGAGGAGGCTGATGGCAGCAGGTCCCACAGCGCCACCCCAGCCTAGGCAGCTCACTTGGCAAGTCCCTCCAAACACCCCAATCAGAAACATGAACGGGTCAGCCCACCTCAGGTATCCTATTACATCCATCAAAAAACCGGTAACAGAGAGGACAATGCAAGAGGGACAACAGCTCTGGATGCAATGAGAGATGACAAGTGGAATATGAGTTGAACCCCTGCCAGGATCATAAGGGCTGTGGAAGTGTAAGTATTCATGGTGGAGCAGAGGCTGGGCGGAACATGGAAGAACGAAGAGTTTGATTGTCAAGGTATTAGCACTAAGACAACCCCGCACTCCTTTGTGTTGAGCAAGGTTTTCACTGACATTGTGGCCAAATAGTTCCTGGGGGCAGGGTGGGGACTGGCCTGTGCATCATCTAGAGATACACATGGCCTCTATCTACTGGATGCCAGTGGCTCTCACTGTGCCCACTACCACCCCGACCAAGTGGTGAAAACCAAAAAATGTCTCAAGATACGGCCAAATGTCCCCCATGGGCAACATCTCCTCCAGTTCAGAGCCACTAATTTATATGAATATTGACATAACCTTTGAAAGGTAAATGATAAACTAGAGGCTTGATTGAAGCAATCGATAACAATGATAATATTAGTCATCGTGATGTAAGCCAGGTCAGGACGCATTTAAAAGTTTCCTTTGCTTTTTCAACTTCAGGAGGAGGCAAAGGCTGGAGAAACTCCAACCCCGCCCCATCTCTCACTTGGGTCACCAACTTCTTCATTAAGAGAGGCCTCCATTTAAAAATAGGACAGGCTGGGGCCAAGCTCAGTGGTAGAACACACACGTAGCACCCATGAGGCCCAGGTTCCACCCCAGTACATGTGAGGTGTAGTGGGTGCTGGCTCTTGAGGTTCCCACAGGACAATAAAGAAAGTAAGGGGCTACCAGAGCAGAGTCAGATTTCAGTCCCCAAGGTGCCATGTGCCTTTGGGCTGGGCCGCAACACTTGGGATCTCAAAGTCCTCCTCTGTAAAGTGGGAAGGCGCTGGCAGGAAGGTGAACAGGTTCCGTCTCAGCAGCAGCTCTGAGTTTCGGGGACCTGTTAGTTTGACTCTGGGTAAAACTAGTCAATCGGGGAGGGAAGATAATGCAGTTGGCTCATGGCCCCATGAAGTAATGAGTTAGTTTGGGTCATGACTAAGTAAAGTGATATGTTCTGGTTTTTGGTTCACCATTCAATTCTGATGTCCCTGGATTACAGTGAAGACTCTTCTAGTGGGCAGCAGGAATCTTTTTTTTTTTTTTAAAAAGTATTTATTTAGTTGTAGATAAACACAGTTTCTTTATTTTTATTTTTATGTGGTGCTGAGGATTGAACCCAGTGCCTCACATATGCAAGGCAAGTGCTTTACTGCTGAGCTACAGCCCCAGCCCTGGTGGCAGGAATCTTGATTGGCAGTTTCCCACTGTTCCAGGGCTAACAACAAGGGGGCAAATGGGCCACCAGCCTCAGCCTTTGATTCATACGGAGGAGGACAGAGCCTGCATGGTGGCCTTCGGAAGGCCCCTGGCAGAAAACAGGCTCCCAGGAGCTTCCCACTGGCCCTATCATTCCACTTTTCGAGTTTTTCTCTTTCTTCCTTAAAAAAAATTTTTAAAGTAAATTAAAGCATTAGCTGCTTATTAAAATGCAAAGACTCTACGAAAGGAGCAGTTACTATTAATTATTCACTCCTTCACATGAAGTAATTAAGGAGAGCCTCATTAAAAAATTAATACTAAAGCACAGTAAGAAAGACCATTCAGGACCATTGCATTAGATGTAAGACCTCTGCAATGGGCTAGCAGAGGGGGAGAGAGAAAGGACTTAACGTGGAACACAGCATGGTCAAGTGGGAATTGACAGCCAAGGAGCAGGGTAGGGTCAGTAGAGGAAAATAGCTAAGCAGGAGTTGCAGGGAACCTGGTTAAACTGACCTGACAGGATTCTTACTGAAGAAGACCAGTGTGATCAGACCTCGCCTGGCCCCTGGTGGAGGATGAAGAACCTGGTCAGGTGTGGATGGTGATCAGCCATCAAAGATGGGGCCTTCTGGTTGTGCTAACTTATCAGCATTCTTTTGTTAAAGCTGAATTTCACAAAGAATACACATATGGGCCTGAGAGAAGGCTCAGAAGTCTGACTAAATTTTGGCCAAGCCAAGAATCATTGTCCTGTATGGCAAGAGACCTTGTGACCAAGAGCCAGTGAGTGAAAACTCTGCAGAGCCCTGGCCTGTGAGGGTGGGTGGCCCACAAGGGGGCAGGGCGGAGTTGCAGAGGAGCTACCAGGGTGACAGCCACTGTGGGCAGCAGCTCAGCGGGAGCTGGAGGAAGAGACTACCCACATTCTGCTCAGGGTGACTCCTGTCCTCTCTGTGGCTCCTGGCATTCTGGCTGCCAAAAGCAGGTGTTGGCCTACTCAAAAGTCAGAGAGGAACAGCAGGGCTGGACAACTTGGGAATCTGATGCCTGACATGGGGAGGATATTTTGCAACCAAAGTCAGGGCTAGGCACAGATTAAAAGAACCTGCCTCCATCTAACTTGCCATCCTGACCCCAAACATGGATGGGCCAGGTCAACACCAAACCACGCAATAGGGGCAGGTATAGAGCAGCATCTGCAAAACAATAGCAGCTGAATGAAGAAAGGGAGCTTCTCTGGGTAGAGGAGCTCCAACTCAGAATGAGAAGCTCAGCCTGTCCCTGCTGGTCCCCAACCTGAGCCTCTCTTTACTGGACCGTATTGCTCGTGCTTAGACCCATTCCTGCTCTGAGCAACTTTGAGCCCAGGAAAGGAGATCAGTTCTCTCCTTCTTGCCCCTCTAGCCTTAGCAAAGTGCTCTGCACAGAGTAAATCTTCACAGAACACGTGCCATGTATATCAAGACAGCAAATGAAACATTTGAAAACAGTGACATATTCCAAACCCGGTTTGACCCCCAAAGGCAAATTGTAATCATTGCCTCAACACGCTGAAGCCTGGCTTCATTTCTAAGCACCCCCAAGTTAACAGGCACCTGCTTATTTGCACACTGGAATTGATTTGTAGGACTCCACTTTGCATCCCTGGTTTCAGGCTGGGCAAATTTAGAGTGAAATGAAATCAAATCATGTGCAGCCTGTTATTTAGAAGTGAGAACCCCCAGGCACTGGGGGTGGAAGGGCACATCAGTAAGTGTTCCCTTTTAGAGCCTGCCACAGGCGCAGCATTGGGGAAGGCTCCCAGCATGCCAAGCGCCCCACCCGCTACTTGCTAGCTTATGCCTGAAATCCCACCACGACAGTTTTAAGCTTTTAAGCCATTTGATTTTTTTAGCTATTGAACTGAAAATAACCTGGGGAAAATAACTGAGCATTTCTGGCAAGTGGCATAAGAGCAGATTTTGATAGCGGGGGAAAAAAAGAAAGAGCAAAGTGGAATGAGGAAGCAGGCCAGCACTTTTAGTATGTACTCTGCATTTCCTGTCCAAATCTCATCAAATTCTTTTAAGGAAAAGCCTTTTTTTTTTTTTTTCTGGAGGGGGGCGTAAAAGGGGATTGAACGCAGGGGCACTCAACCGCTGAGCCACATCCCCAGCCCTATTTGGTATTTTATTTAGAGACAGGATCTCACTGAGCTGCTTAGGGCTTTGCTAAGTTGCCAAGGCTGGCTTTAAACTTGCGGTTCTCTAGTCTCAGCCTCCTGAGCTGTTGGGATTACAGGCATTCACCACTGCACCAGGCAAGACAGGATCTTTCTAAATTGCCCAACCTCCTAAGCCACTGGGATTACAGGCATCCGCCACCCCTCCCGGCCAAGGAAAAGCCCTTTATTGCCCCCATTTTTTTTTCAGAAAAGGAAACTGAGGCCTGGGAAGCTTAGGGCATTTATCCAACTTCCTGGAAGCAGTGAAATTAAAGCTCAAAATGCAACTATCAGACTCCCCTTCTCTGGTCTCTAGTGCATTATCAGTCTCTGCTGCTGCTAAGAAGGGCTCTGTTAAGACACGGGAATCTCATCCCTTGACCTGTGGCATGACTTTGGACATAATGTATTTCTCTGAGCCTCAATTTGTTCTTCTCCTCCTCCTCCTCCCCCACTCCCCCTATCCCTCCTCCACCTTCTCCTCCTCCTTCTTTTGGTGGTGGCACCAGAGATTGAACCCAGGGCCTCATGCATGCTAGGTAAATGCTCTACCATTGAGTCACATCTTCAGCCCATTTTAAAACTTTGAGACAGACAAGATTTGGCTAAATTGCCCAAGCTGATCTCAAACTTTTGATCCTCCTGTCTCAGTCTCCCAGGTTGCTGGGATTACAGGTGTGTGCCACTGCAGTTAGCCAGTTTCTTCTTTAAAGTGCTGTTCTGGGCTGATCTGTGTCCTCCTCAAATTCATTTGTTGAAGTCCTAAACCTGAAGTACCTCAGGATGTAACCGTGTTTGTCGATAAGGTCTTTTATGAGGTGACTTAGGAAAGCGAGCGCATTAGAGTGAGTCCTGATCCACTCTGGCTAGTGTCTCTCATAAGAGGCATTTTGAATGCCCAGAGAAGCACAAGAGCGTGCTTGCAGAAGGAGACCTGTGAAGAGGCAGCAAGAGGGCAAACATATGAGGTCTTAGAAGAAACTAACCCGCTGAGACCTTGATCTTGGCCTTCTAGCCCCCAACACTGTGATAAAATAACTCTCTGCAGTTTAAGCTACCGAGTCTGTGGGATTTTGTCATGGCAGCCCTAGAAGATTTCACAAGTGTTGAGGTTGGGCGACACGTTTCCTAAGCCAGCGTTTCTCTGCAGCTGCCTCTGGTTTCAAGCCAGCTTGGCATTGTGCTGTCACTTCCCTACCCAGCACCCAGTTCTTCACAGGAGGGGAGGTTCCCCCAAAGTTGGAGGTACGAGATGAACACAAGACGAAAGGCATGAAAAGCGAACACAAGGAATAGCTAGAGACCAATGGGGAAGCTGGTGAGCTGTTTGCAGGCAAAGGACAGAGAGATGCAACGCTGTTGGCTTTGAAAACGGAGGAAGGGGGCCGTAAGCCAAGGAGGGGGCAGCCTCTAGAAGCTGGAAAAGGCCAGTGTCCCCTGCAATCTCCATCAACACCATGATTTTAGCCCAGTGAGACCCAGGTCAGACCTGTGATCTACAGAACTGGAAGACAATAAATTATCTTTTTTTTGTGTGTGTACTGGAGATTAAACCCAGGGCTTCTTGCACACTGA